TGAGAATGGATCTCGCTGTTCGTATCTGACATACCAAAAACCTCCAAATCGATCACCTGGGCGTGCGCTTAACCCTCCCTCAAAACAAGAGTGTCTATAATCTGCTGTCATCTGTAGTTTTTTCATATTGAGTATATTCACAGATTCTTCGCAGTGCGCAACCGATCTCAAACCCAAAAGATGCGCTCCTCCGACTTACGCTAAGAACTTGTTCAAGCTGAGCAGGATACTGAAGAAGATTCCCGAAATCTTCCGCGTGCGCTTGAAATCTTCCAACTCGAACTGCCCCTCCATTTCTGGCCTAAACCAGAAGAAAAAATTTCCAGAATTTCTTCGGAAGAATTTAAGAGCGCGCGACAGTCTCACAAAATAAGATCATTCATCTGGCAGAGTATATCCTGAAACCGAACAGCCTCCTGATGTAGACACTCCAGCCGCTGAACTTGTTCCAAATAGAAGTATCTGCCCCACTGATACCAAATCGATCACCAGGGCGAGCGCTACTCACGCCATCTCATGATCCCGTATCACACCATCACCATCCAAATCAACCAATTTGAAGAAGTACTCCAACGAAGCATCAGTAGTCTTATCCTCATCAGAAATCAGGAACCCTACAAATCGATCATCAAGGCGCGCGCTTTTGTTCCGCGACGAACTAGACCCACAGCAGAAGTCCTCGTAGCCCATCTTCCCCGGGATACCGGAAATGAACTTGGCCGGGATTTCGGAAAAAATACGATCGATCGCCTTGCGGGAGAATGCGTGACCATCGTACTTCAATAAATCATCCTAAAAGAGAATCTTGAGGTTGAGCATGCAAGATACAGAAGAGGTCCAAATCAACCTGCGATTATAGTCCGGGAAAATACCACACACTCATATATAGACGAATCTTTAGGTCGCCCGTGCAAGATTCAAAGCAGGTCGGAAAAAGCCACACTCATAAAGAAGCGAATCTTGAGGTCCCCCGTGCAAGATTCAAAACAGGTCAGAACAAGGCATCCCTCATCTCAAGCAATAGAAAACAAAAAATTCACGCGATAGAATCACTCTTACTTTATCCAACAGAAAATCATGGTCTTCATCTAGTTCCCAAAATTTACAGTACAAAACGTAAAAGTGCTCGTAGGAGAAATACGCCCGAATTTTGTTGATGTCCTCGCACTGATCGAGCTCCAGCCAAGTGTCCACAAGAGACGGTCGAGATCTCTGAGGGAAAAACACCGAAAATTTTTCAGGAAATTTCCCGCAAAAAATCCCTCAAGAAGAAAACAACCTACATAGTAGTACGAAGTCTCTTCGAGTGAAAATAAACTTTTCCCGAAAAAAAACAAAAAAAACTTTTTCCCTCCCTAAAAATTTTATTTTCTTTAATCACCAAGGATTACGATCTATTAACACATTTTACGTGGAGTGGCGTAAAACTCGGTGAAAAACGCGAAATTCGCGGTTTGCAGTGGTCGTGGAGTAGGTTTTTCACATCACTAGGGTGAAACTCTAATAAACTACATAAAAATCGATCAACCGTTTCAGAAATGTCACCTTTATATCTCTCAGAGAAATTCTTCCCAACTGTTTCGAATCACAGCTATAAAATATTCTGCACAACACCGTGTCAGTGTACCGGTCTTGGAACTCAGGCGTATCCTGTAGGAACTCCAACCCGGGATGGGTGTCCAGCAAAACTATTGAAGAACAAGAGGTCAGTAGCGCTCGCCCAGATGATCGATTATGTCGTCGACTCACCCCAAACGAACTCTCGGAAGTCGTTTTTAACGATGCAATCGCTGGTGTCTTTACGGACTATATTAAAGAAGTTCTCGTACGCTTTTCCCAGCTCAAGGCCGAGGCCTCGCCAGTATCTAAATCGATCAAGATACTTTTCAGGTCCATAAATCGTCACTGCGCCACGAAATCACTTCATGAACATCTCTTTCGTCACAGCAGCACTTTCATCGGCACCGTTAAATGAACGTATCCGACGCAAAATAGGATCAGCAAAATACCTGAAAAAAAACGTCACGCGCCACGAAATTCAAGACGGTATAACATGAACGTTCCGTCACGCGCCACGAAATTCAACACGGTATAACATGAACGTTCCGTCACGCGCCACGAAATTGAAGACGGTATAACATGAACGTTCCGTCACGCGCCATAAAACTATCCAGCGGAACCAGGCGGAATAAACCTTACATCGAGACGCACAGCTGTTCGCTGCAGAAAGTCTGCCATATAGAGAAGCAATCCTCATCCATTGGATCGATTGGACCTGGGTAAAAACGTCACAATACCGGATAAAATCTCCCACGATTATCAAATTCCTAGTCTGCCTCAAATTCCACGCCCATCAAATACGAAAAAACAAGAAAAACCAAAAATCGCTTCGCTCCGCCCACCTCCCAGTTCTTGAAAGAGCTCGTTGATAACTTCTTTTTCTCGCGTAGTCAGAGGATCCGTCGCGCGCCGCGACTTAACCGGTACGAAAAATCGCGGAATAATTTCCGCTCCTCGACCAATCAAAGAAGGCGCCTGTCAAATAAAATAAATTATTCATACCACTCCTTTTCCAAATCCCAACCCCACCCCTTCTATACTCGTCATCATCGCTTTCTTCGGCGTTGCCCCCGACTCTGAGCCCGTCACAGTGAGCTGACCAGAAGCCCCAGACTTGGGACTCGACCGATTGCTCGGCGAGATAACCTTCTGTCTGCCACTCAAAAAGTCCCCGGATCGAATCCCCCCCCCCCTCTCCCTTACTGTTTTTCCACAACAGTCTGGGCTTGATCAGCATCCGATGCCCTAAGGGAACCTCATCCGTATCTTCCCCGAGGGAACCTTAGATATTCTCACCTCCTTCCCGGTGATTTCGGCGTGATAACTGCACTAGCCTGCGGACTCGCATCCTTCAGCGTGAAGTACCTGCGGGTAATCGAAAGGTCCCCGGTTCGATTCCCCCCACGTCCATTACGGTGGAGGCGCCGACAGCAACTCCTCTTCCCACGAGCCGTTGGTCCCTCCCGGACTGTGCGATGGCGACCTGATGAAAAATCTTCAAAGCGATAAAAAATTCCCCAAATAATGTGTAAAACGTTCGCGTGAATAACTCCTAACACGGATTTTTTTACACCCACCACCGCCTAATACGAAATTGTGAAAACATAGAATCGTACATTTCTCCCCTGAGTGTGAAACCTCCATCGCATCTCAACTTAGACAAAATTCAATAATTTCCACCAACTTTCCGGGAAAAAAATCCGAAAATCAGAGAAAAATTTTCCCTCAAACTTTCCACATTTTTTCAACTAAATAAAAAACCATTCCTCCCACTAAACTTACAATCCCAGACCCGCACTAGGCGATCGACAAGTCGCCGGAATTGCCGTGCCAGAAGAAGGCGTATTATGAGGAGAACTCGCCAGCGCTGCAAGAGTAGCATCATCTGCGTTGAGGAAA